GTAGTGGGGCTGCCCATATGGTCCTCTCTGTGCATTGGCTGCTCTGAGCAGGGATATCGTCCTCAAGGTCTGGTGGGCCAGGATGTGCTCCACTCTCTCCTCCTCCCCCTTCATTTGCTCCCATGCACTCTGATCAGACACGTCCCTCTCCCTGAGCTGCAGCTTCAGTGCTGTCCTCTGAAGTGAATTCTGGGGGGAGGAGCAGCTATCTTCCATTTTCATCACTCTTCTTTCCTCTCAATGGGGAGAGACAAATCGTTGCACCTCATGACTGTTCACACGCTTTGAAGACCCCAGTCACTATGCACCAAAGTAGAATGTAGAACATTGTCATTGTAACTATGTTATGCCAACTGACTGCAGTGTTCCCTATGAATATATAGATATATGTATACACACACACATACATACATACATACGTATACATACCATTTCTCATCAATTTTAAGCTACAGGCCCACTAGCTGACTTAGAGCCAACCAATCCACTGAGCTGGAACTCCATTGAACCAATTTACTAGGAAATGTCAATCAATTCAGGCTTTGTCAATTACTGGACCAGGCTGATCAAAAGTGTCCATCAACTCAGGAAATTCCCTCCCAGTGCCCTCTCCCCATAAACCCACTGCAAAAAAGGTCACATAAGGAAATTCTTTGCATCCCAGTGAAAATTCTTTCTAAAATCCACATGAAACCATGGACCTGTCATTGACCCTATGTGTGGTCAACAGATTGGAGACCTGGAGACCAGAAGGCTCCTGGGGACCCCCAAACCTCTTGAGTGCTTCAGGCTCAGCAGAACTGAGGACTTTGCATTCTTTACAGTCCAGGGGAGATAGCCAGAGCCTTGAAGGCATTTGGAGATCCGCAGAGAACGAGGAAGTACAAACAAGTCCCACAACTGCTAACCGGTAAGCTCTCACACCTTGTAGCTGGTGCCGAGTTGAGTCCCTGGATGCCCACACAAGCCTGAACAGAATTCTCCTCCTTGACTGCATAGGGTGCCTCAAGTCTGGGACCCCGATTCTCTTTGAGTCCAACACAGGGTCGTATTCTGTGGTCACACCTCCCCTGGGGCCCTCTTCCTCTGAAGCCTCCTCTGTCTCTGTCTGTGCCTTTCCAAGCCCCTCTGTTGTCCCTCGCCTCAGGGAGACCCCGTGGAGTCTCTGTGGAAGTCACAAACTGGAAAGGATCCTCGGTCATTCTGACGCTCAGCCCTGCTGCCCCAACCCTCTTTGGGCTAGAGAACCCAAATGGCAATTTGCCTCTTTGGAATCGGCGAAGGAAAACGAAACGAGAACAAAAACACAAATCAATATTTCAATAAATCATCCTGCCACAGCAACAAGATCCAAGGGAGTGGCTGGGAACCATTAGAAGCCCAACATCTGGCGTCTGGGATGAGTGAGACGATTGTCTGTTGTTGGTTCAGTCGAGAAAGAAGTGAAGCAGGGCCTGGCCTTTGGGGTGGTGACCTGGGGAATGAATTTGACCTCATGTGTCATGTTTGGTCCACACAGTTTTTTTTCTTAATTTAAGCCAGAATTTACTATTAAATAGGCCAATTTTTTTCAAATAATGTAAGTATGTAAATACATTTAATGCAGTGCTTAATGTAGATTTAAAGCTTGGCTTGGAAAATTCAACCTGACATCCCCTAGCTGAGAAAAAGTTGTCCTATTTATCTGCTCAGGGGGCACCCAGTTTACTGCAGTCCTCACCAGTCCCTATTGCCCCATCTTTTTTTTTTTTTTTTACCCCAAACAGGAAAATATTTCTCTGTGCCTTGTCCCTGGAAAAATTTTTTTTAATTACACTACTTACCCTCTATCCAACTCACTGATTTATGCCACCTGACCCACGTAGCCCTGTTGGCATTTGGGCTGGCAGTGCCCTCCCAGCACTTCCCTCATGCCCACCCCCTGAAGAAGGTGGGAGTTTTCAACCAGCTTCAGCCTGGCGTCTGCCTCTGACCGTGTTCCCCAATGAATAAACTTACTACTTATCTCTGGTCCTGAGGTATGTCTCTCTGGTGGAAATCTTTAAAAAAAATTCTTTTATTGTAGTAAAAACATATATAACAAAACATTTGCTAACACAATCATTTTTACATGTATAATCCAGTGGCTTTGAGTATGTTCAACACATTATGCAGCCATCACCACTATCTGACTCCAAATTATTCCACCACCCTTAGCATAAACTCTCTTATCCGGTAACCACGTATACACTTTGGTCTCTATACATGTAGCATGTGTTCTCTTGTTTCTTTAATATGATGTCTTCAAGGTTCATTTATGTTGTAGTATGTACCAGAAGTTTGTTATCGTTGTGACGGAGTGCATGTATTCCAGTGCATGGGTAGCTTATGTGGGTGGAGTCTGTGGAGTAACACTCCAATGCATGTGTATTCATGGACAACATTTTGCTTAGCCATCCATCTGATCATGGACATTTAGGTTGCTTCCACATTTTGACTATTGTGAATAGTGTTGTGATAAACATGGGTGTGCAAGTTTGTGTTCCTGCTTTGAATTCTTTGGGGTACAGACCTAGAAATAAAATTGCTGGCTCTTCTGGTAGTTTAATGTTTCGAGAAACCACCAAACTGCTTCCCTGGTGGCACTCGACTCCTCCTTACAGACTTGGCCAGACTTTTCTCCCACTTGTATGGAACAGATCCTTTGTTCCTTGGAGTCTAGCCACAGTCTCCCACCTAACATACAGTGCCTTCCCCTGGGGTTCCTGTCATCCCCTGATCTTTGTATGGCTTCTTTGCCATATCTGCATTCATTGTATTATTTTCTGTAACTATCTTCAAACCAGAGACACACATTTTCCTTCCTCCTCTGGTTTGCACACGATATCAGGATTTCCATCTCCCCTCTCCCGGGCCCTCCCAGAATGATGGACTTTGAGGGTGGGGATCCACGTCATATTACTTCTTGTCCCAGGATGTGCACAGAGTAGGCACCTAATAAACACGTATATGGAACCCTGAGCGGAAACCCTGACATGGGATGGGGGTGGGGTGGGGTGAAGTAAATGCCACTTGATTCTTTACTTGAAGTCAGACTTTGTTCCCCCTACACATCCCCTGTTTTGAATGCAAACTCATGAGATGTGTGTGTGACCAAGGAACATTTCCTTCCATTCTTCCACAAGAATGGAGCCAAGTAAGAGGTGAGAGTGATGGGGTATGGGGCGCCGTGTACCCAAAGGATGGAGACTGCAAACTGCTTCCAGCTGGCCAACCAGATGTGAGCCCCTTTTTCTACCTCTCCCTCCCCCCTGCAGTCCATGAGCCTCATCGAGATTGGGAACCCCTCTCAGAGTCTGGAGAACGTCTGTCGCTGGGCCTACCTCCAGCAGAAGCCGGACACGGGCCACGATGAATACCACGACCACGCCATCTTCCTCACCCGGCAGGACTTTGGACCTTCAGGCATGCAAGGTGAGCATTGCCCCTGAAGGACACAGATGGAGAAGCCTGGCCGCCATCAGCCTGAGCAAGGAGGGGGGGCGCACGGTGTTAGGCAGCCTTGATCCCAGCCAGGGGGAGTTTCAAGGCAGGGAGCTTCATCAGAGGAGGGGTCTGGGTAAGTGCTGGTGAGCTGGCTCCAAAAACTATTTGTCGTTTTCCCCCAGAAAACAGCCCTCCTCTAGGCAGACAGGTAAGAACAGGGGGTTCAATCCACAGAGACTACAGCCGGCAGCTCTAAGGCCAGGGATTTCTGCAGCTTTCTGTGTATCTGAATCTCCCAGTTTTTAGAACATAAATTTGGAAACATTGACAACTTTCAAACTTTTGGAGATTTATAACATAAAAATCAAAACCATATATGGCAAACAGATTGAAAGGGGAAAAAATGACAAGTTTTCAGTCATGGTTCAAGATTTTAACACGCTTCTCTCTCAGTAACTGATGGAACAACAGATTTAAAGTATCAGTGAAATACAGATTTTAGCAATTCTATGACACAAATTGTCCTAAATGATGCATACAGAATACCTTATTGGATGATTGGTTAGTACACACGTTACTAGTACACATGGGAAATATACCAAAACAGACTACCCTTGGGGCATAAGGAAAATCTCAATGAAATGTAAGCGGTTAAAAATTAAGAAAAAAGTATTAAAATGTAAGGATCAAAAGAGAGGAAATCAAACTCATTTGAAGAGGATATTATTTTGTACTTAGAAATATTAAGTAATATGATCAAAGTTACTGGATATAAATTCAATGTAATAAAATCTAAGTTCTAACAACAAAAATGAAACTGAACTTTAAAAATCAGGACACCTTAGAATTTTTAGAATCCAAGGAAATGAATAAGTCTAAAAAATAAATTTTCAAAACCTAGACCAGAAAACTGTAGGATTCCTGAGAGAAATAATGAAACAGTACATGAACAAAGATGGATTACTGTACAGATATCAATTATTCTCAACTGTAAAGTGCATTAAAATTTCCAGCAGGATTTTTGAGGATATTGATAAGCTAACTCTAATATTTATATAGCAATACAATAGAGCAAAAATAGGCAACAGTAATTGAACAAGAGCAACTTGTTCAGTACTTGTCAAAATATAATAGTTACAGAGTCTAATTTGATATAAGAATTGACACATATTTCATTAGAATGGAATCCAGAATTGAGCCTCTTCATGTATTTACTACAAAAGGTTTCCTACAAACCTGGCACTTCAGAGTAAATGGAAAGACAGTGTTTTTAATAATGGTGCTGAAACAACGGAACATCCAAATGGCAAGTGGATTTTATATCTAAACATGACAAGCAAAATAATAAAACTTAGGGGAGATAATACAAGTCATTTTCTCCATGTTCTCAGATATATTTTTTTAAAACAAAAAGCATTAACCATGCTGGAAAAGATTGATAAATTGTACCACAGTAACATTAAAAACATCTGTTAATTGAAGATGATGTTAAGGCATTGGGAGAAAAGATCCATAGTCCATACATCTGATCCAGGAAATACCTGGAATATAGAAAGAAACCCCATAAGTCAACAACAACACATGGGAATAATAAAAAGCACATAGCTCATTAGAAAAATGGACACAGGATCTTATCCGGCTCTCAGCAAAATCTGAGTCATCATTTAAATGAAAAGGTGCTCAATGTCCAGAGTCACCGTTGTTCCTGCTGTGGAGCTGGCTCCTGACTCTTGGTGACCCATTGACAACAGAACCAAACTGTCCGGTGTCATCCGTGAGCCATTGAGGGATTGGATCGTTGTGATTCATAGCGTTTTCACTGTTGGTTTTCGGAAGATCACCAGACCTCTCTCCTAAGTCTGTCTTCATTTGGAAGCATCATAGCCACACAAAACCCTCCACTGACCGTTAAGTGATAACTGCATGTGACGTGTCAAGTCAGAATTGACTCCATAACTTCTGGTGGCTGGAAATTTAGGCCAGGTCTCCTGTATTCTACCAATGAGACACCACCAATGGCTCATCCGGTAGTCGTCGTTGATATTGTTGTGTGCTGTCCAGAGGATTCCAATTCATATCGACCCTATAGGACAGAGTAGGACTGCCCCACAAAGTTCCCAAGCTACAATCTTGAACAGAGGGAGATCTGATGGGGTTTGCTCTCCCACTGATGTGCTGGTAGGTGCAAGCCTTTTGGGCAGCCCGTGAGTGGTTGACCTTTGTGTCACTAAGGCTCCTTCAGTAATCATTAGGGAAGCCCACCTAATAGGATGGGCAACATTTTTTTAAAATGAAAACACATGAAGATGTGAAGCAATCGTAACTCTGACAAGAATATAAATTGTAACTATTATTTGGAAAAGTTGTCAGGCATTATCTAGTAAAGCTGAAAAGGGGCCCCGGTGACTAAGTCGATGATTTGAACCCATGAGCCTCTTCTTGGAAGAAAGATGAGGCAATTTGCTTCTGTAAAGATTTACAGTTTTGAAAGCTCAAGGGAGGGAGCAATTTTACTCTGACCCGTAATGTCACACCAGCCCCTTTGCTGGAGAAAGATGACGCCATCTGTTCCCTTAAATGTTTACAGCTTTGGAACCCTGGCTGGGGCTGCTCCAATTCTGAAAGGACCCATGGCTGTGGCTTCTGGTGGGTTATCTTAGTCATAAAACACCACTGTTGTCCCTTTTGTTCTTGTCGCTGCCTCTTTTGCAGCACCAACAGCATCACAACGGTGGTTCGCACACTAATGTTTTTATGATGGGTGTGGGTGCAGTGGAGGACAGGGGTCTCCGTTTCTCTGAAAACCCCAGAGCAAACAACCACTTGACAAGCTCCACTCCTGTAAATGGAACACTCTGGGCTTTTTTAATTCAGGAAAGAGCTGAAATGGGGCTGGAGGGGCAGAGCTGTTCTGTGGTAGAGAAAAGCCATGACGATTTTCTGGAAAGTCACCCTCCTTACAGATGTGGAAAAGTGGCCAGAGGTTAGCAGACCAGACTAAAACAAAAAGTCCAGCATGTAAAAGGAGGAGTGAAAAGACAAACAAGGAAAAAAATGGAGAAGCTGAAAGGGAACTTTAAAAAAAGTAGTACTCTCAGAAATACTTGAGAAAGTAAGTCCATCCAATCAGAACAGGTAGTGAGGAAGAAATAGAGGGCGGCAAAGAGCTGTTATGAAATGAACGGTGTATGGAGATGGCTGCCCTGCAGGGTTAATGTCACTGAAGCTCTACGTGAATAACATCCCTGCTGAATCAGCAACTGTTGTGTTACGTATAACACTGAACAAAACAGAGACGATCGACGAAATAAAGCTGTAGTCAACCTCCTCGTGCCCCTCGCAGTTTGTAGCACAAGGACAAAAGATTATTTCTCAGGGAAAAGCAGGAGATATACAGGTTCAGTGCAGGAGGTACAACATCTGTCTAATAATGAGTGAACAGCAATGTTGTTGAAAACAAAAATCAAATGAGAGTGACGAAGATAAAGAAAGTATCAAGACACTTTGTAAAATCTTCAGATCATAAAGACTCAGGAAGATGAATGGAAAACATTTTCACTGAGACACACAGATGGACCATCTCTAAGTTTTGGTCTTGCACACCGATTCAAGAACAGTTACAGTAAACCCCATGAAAGCCGGAAACTGTGTAAGGCCAGAAACCCATCAAATATGGCAAAGTCAAAATAGTTTCCACTAAAACCAACGGTAGAAAAGGGGTTAAGATTTCACCCTGTCAAAGGCAGAGTACTTGTACAACCCAGAAAAACAAGGCGCTCTCACAAGGTACCTCTCATAGGCTCCACTCTATTCTGCAAGTCAAGACTACTTTCAGAGACAGATTTTCTTGTTTGCTCGGAGGGGAAACCCAAACCAAACACATTGCCATCAAGTTGGTGCCGTCTCTCGGAGACCATATAGGACAGGGTAGAACTGTCCCTGTGAGCTCCCAAGGCTGTTAACTCCTTATGGGAATAGAAAGCCCCAAATTTCTCTCATGGACTTGCTGGTGGTTTTGAACTGCTGACCTTGCAATTAGCAGCCCCACAAGGAACCACTGCACCACCAGGACTCCTTCCAAGGGTGAAAAATAATGATGAATAATGGCGTTTGTAAGGCAAGTCTAACCAGCAACACAGCCCTGATCCCAGTGGTCCTCCTCTATTTTCCACTCTGAACCAATGACCTGGGGAACTCATCAAAGGTTCTGAGGGGAGTTGGGCTGGGTTTGGGATTCCTGTGTTTGGGGCTCCCCACTTGACGGACTTTTAGGAAACGATAACCAGTTGCTGTGAGTGGTCTTCAACAATGGCACTCTGAGTGTGTGCTCGTGGAACTGCCCCACTGACCTTTTCCCCGACACACCTCTGGCTGGCCTCGAACTGCCAACTATTCAGTGAGCAAACTCCAGGCCCCCAGGAAGATCCTAGACTTAAGAACCCAGGCCCTCTTTGGCACAGAGAGCTCTCGTTGCTGAGCTATTGTGTGTACTCGTTTATTTTGTCCAAGTTGCTTCCATCTGCTTAGACGGGTGTGGTGACCAGTGTTCAGGCCCAGCTTCTGGTTTTCCTCCATTCTATGTGAGGTCTGTGTCCTGACTTTCAGTCACTCTGCTTCCCCCATCTGTGGGAAGGCTGTCTCTGCAGCATCCCTGGCTTCTTCCCGCTGGAACCAGTCCCAGCTCACCACAGCACCACATGCACTTCAAGTAGCCTCTCCCCACTTCCTGCATGGGATGTTCCAGATCACCCCCGAGTCCTCCCCTCCCTGCTTGCCTCCTTTCCCATCTACTCCCCTTGGCCAAACCATGGGTGACAAAACCCATGGTGGGTCCTCACCTCGTGAATTCAGTGTTCTTCAGAAGACACTGGATGGGGCATTGGGTCCTTGGCATCTTATATCTGAAGCTTGACTGCTAACTACCCCTCCTTCCACAACTCCTCACTCCATGGGCACTTTGTCAAATCCCAGCCTCTTCTCTACAGAGTGTCATTGCGAACTGATGTCAAGCAGCCCCATGACTCGTGGTGGCCCCTGCATAACAGAAAGAAGCCCTGCTGGGTCTTGTACCATCACGCCCTCCATCAGTTGCAGATTGAACCAGGGTGAGCCTCGGGTTGTTTTTTAGAAGTAGGTCACCAGGCCTTTCTTGTTTGTCACTCTTAGTCTGCAAACTTCCCTGAAACTTGGTCAGCATTATCACAACACGCAAACCTCAACTGACAAATGGGCGGGGACTGCATTGTTTAAAACCACAAAAAAAACGAGGCCACCAAGTCCATTCACGCTCCTGCCGCTGACTCCGTGTGGGATTTCTGAATCTTCACGGAGCATCCAGCCTCCTCTTTCTCCTGTGGCGGAGGGTGGAAACACTGAGTGGTGAGCAGCCTGAGCCACAGGACCACCACTGCTCCTTGCTAATGAGGTCAGAAGTCAAGCCCAGATCGCCCACCTGGAAGGCAAGATGAGACTGGAAACCCTCCAGCAGGCACATGGCTCAGTGTCTTGGCAGCCAGGCTGCAGTGCTTGGCTCATTGCTGCCGTGGGTACCCTCACAGACTTTGTCTGCCGTGGCTGGCCTGACCTCTCAGATGGCCAGTCTCTGGGCAGCTGCAGCCCCGGCGATGCCCGTTGGCAGCTCATCTCTGTTATTTGGGAGTTAACAGAACTGAGAGGCTCGCTGCTCATAGTGTCTCTATATCAGCCATCACTGCTACCTCCAGGAGGCCTGGTTGAGGTCTCACAGGAGCCCCAAGAGGATGTGGGAGGCTCAGTGGGCAGATGAGACGGTGAGGGCGTGTCTAGGCACAAGGAAGAAGTGTGGTTGCAACGTGTCGTTTAGGAAGGAGACTGGACCCAGCTCAGTGTGGATGTGAAGAGACTGGGCAGCCTCATGCTCCCCAAGGGCTGTGTTCTGAGCCACACCACTTCCTCTCTGCTCATCTGCTCTGGAGGCGGTGGGGGCCCTGAGGACAAACACTTGGGCCAGGGCCCTCTGAGTCGGAGCGTCAGCTGGGGCTGGGGCTGCACGGGCAGGGCTCTGGGCCTGGGAGCTGGAGCTACTTTTGTCTCCTCCCAGGCTACGCTCCTGTCACTGGGATGTGCCACCCAGTCCGCAGCTGCACCCTAAACCATGAGGACGGCTTCTCCTCGGCATTTGTGGTGGCCCACGAGACAGGCCACGTGTAAGTGGCCTGGGATTCCTCGTTCTTCACCCAGAACCCCTTGCCCACTTCTCTTCTGTGCCCTGCGAGGGGCTCGACCTGTGGAAACATTTTTAGGAGGTGATGTTTTGTGGTCCCAGCTCTTCAAAGGGTGGGCCCATTTTCGATGGAAGGAACAGCTTGGGTGCCTAGGGCTGGGGGTGGTGCTGGCATGGGGGGATTCCCACGTGCTCCTCTTCAAGCTTCCCCACCCCGTCCTGGGGGGGGGG